GTATCCTACACGCCATGGAACACACATATAGATAACCTTAGAATTTTCCTCAGAATATATACATTCTAATGAAAGAAAAAACAAATTCCATAGGCGTAATATTTATGCAGTGATTTTTGAGTTAAGCATGGGTATACACAAAAACATGCATTACAGTCTGAAACTTTTTTGAAGCCTTTGGTGAAAGTAACACATAATATTTTATGTTACTAATATTGAGATCGTTTTTGTGATATAATTTACTTATTTTGACGTGTCAAACGTGTTAAGTGACTGATGTAAAATAGTGACGTACCTAGATTGGATTAATCGATAATAGTGCAGCGCACATATCCTTTCAATTACGTAAGTTCTCGAACTGGTTAATTGAAGTTGTAACGCTGCTTGCTGAGGCACCACATTACGAATCCCTTGTTTAGTATTAAAAAAGGGCAACTTCAAAGAGATGTTAAAACCATAAAACACTGTAATCTGGTTTATAAAAAAATATAGAACGCGAGCCCTTGGAACTGCAATAAAGCAGTTTAATTCATGCGTATGGGTATTATTTTCCCCATTTTTTAAAAGTACCAACGCTCTAAATACGTTGATACGGCGTCTTTGTGTGGCTTTTATAACACCCCCTCAGAACAAGTCCCACATCAAGCCGGTCGAATGCTCTAAGAAAGAACAAGCCTTCTGCATAATAAGTTTAAAAGTTTTGTGCAGCTATAAACGCATAACCGGTTTTGTATTATGGTGTCGGTATCGCAATATAACAGTCGAGTTCCTTTTTAATTCGTAATTTGGTGCTGTGTTTTTTGGTATATCCTTAATAATTTGCAAGAAGTTTACTGTCATAAACTTTTTAAAAAAATGAGTTTTCTACAAATTGGTGAGTTTTTAAGGGAAGATAGATTGTACCTTAAACGGTACGAAACCTACATAAAGATAGAATTACCTCAGAATATATAGATTCTAATGAAAAGAAATGGATTCCATTTATACAATAATTTTTGATGTCAGCATGGGTAAAAGTCATGAATTATAGTTTGAAGTCTTTGGTAAAAGTAGGACATATTATATTAGTAATATTGAGATCTTTTTTGTGATATGATTTACTTATTTTTACATGTCAAACGTGTTGACTGACTGGTGTAAAGTAGTGACGTACCTAGATAGGCCTAATCAATAATGGTACAGCACATAGATCCTTTCAATTACGTAAGTTCTCGAACTGGTTAATTGTAGTTATAACGCTGCATGCGGAGACACCACATTACGGATTATTTGCTTAGTTTTAGAAAAAGGCAACTTCAAGGACGTGTTAAAACTAAAACACTGTAATCTGGTTTATACTTGAAAAAAGACCGCAAGCTCTCGAAACTGAAATAAAGCAGCTTAATTCACATGTATGTGTATGATTTTTCCCCTTTTTTGAAAGTACCAACGCTCTACATACGCTTATACGTCGTATTTGTGTGGCTTTTATAACACCCTCTCTGAACAAATCCAACACCAAGCCGGTCGAATGCTCCAAGAAAGAACAAGCCTTCTGCCTAGTAAGTTAAGCGCATAACCGGTTTTTGTATTAGGGTGTCCGTATCGCAATATAACAGTCGAGGTCCATTTTAAGTCGTGTTTCGGTACTCTGTTTTTGGTATAGTTTTAAAGAACCGCAAGAAATTTACTATAATTTACGTCTCTCACTGTTTTATAAACTTTTACCTTGAAGCTCCAAGAATGAGCTTTTAACCAAATTGGTGGATTTCTAATGAAAAATACCTTGTACCCTAAACGGTATGAAACACAAATACAGATCAGATTTTTTCACAGCATATAGATTCTAATGAAGAGAAGTTAATTCCATAAACGTAATATTTATGCAGCATTTTTTTGATGTAAGCGTGGGTATAAATAAAAACGTGAATTGTAGTTTGAAACTTTTTTTGGTAAAATTAAAACACATAATATATTTTTATTAATATTGAGATCATTTTCGTGATATGGTTTATATTTTTGACGTGTCAAACGTGTTAAATGATTGGTGTAAAATAGTGACGTACCTAGATAGGGGCTAATCGATAATGGTGCAGCACATGATCCTTTCAATTACGTAAGTTCTCGAACTGGTTATTCGTAGTTATTATGCTGCTTATGGAGACACCACATTACGGATTCTTTGCTCAGTTTAAAAAAAAATGTAACTTCTGTAACTGTTAAAACTAAAACACTGTCATGTGGTTCATACTTGAAAAAAGACCGCAAGCTCTCGAAACTGAAATAAAGCAGCTTAATTCACATGTATGTGTATGATTTTCCCCATTTTTTAAATGTACCAACGCTCTAAATACATTGATATGGTGTCTTTTTGTGGCTTTTATAACATCCTCTCAGAACAAGTCCCACCACCAAGCTCTAAGAAAGAACAAGCCTTCTGCATAATAAGTTTAAAAGTTTTTGTTTAGCCATAAACGCATAACCGGTTTTTGAATTAGGGTGTCGGTATCGCAATATAACAGTCGAGTTCCATTTTAATTCGTGTTTCGGTGCATTGTTTTTTGGTATACTCTTAAAAAATTGCAAGGAATCTATCATAAGCATTGCTCATCTCACTGTTTCAAAAACTTGTTCTTGGAATCTCCAAAAAGGTGCTTTCCAAGCAAATTGGTAGATTTTTAAGGAAAAATGAATTGTATCCCACACGCCATGGAACAGACATATAGATAAGCTTAGAATTTTCCTCAGAATATATACATTCTAATGAAAGAAAAAACAAATTCCATAGGCGTAATATTTATGCAGTGATTTTTGAGTTAAGCATGGGTATACACAAAAACATGCATTACAGTCTGAAACTTTTTTGAAGCCTTTGGTGAAAGTAACACATAATATTTTATGTTACTAATATTGAGATCGTTTTTGTGATATAATTTACTTATTTTGACGTGTCAAACGTGTTAAGTGACTGATGTAAAATAGTGACGTACCTAGATTGGATTAATCGATATAGTGCAGCGCACATATCCTTTCAATTACGTAAGTTCTCGAACTGGTTAATTGAAGTTGTAACGCTGCTTGCTGAGGCACCACATTACGAATCCCTTGTTTAGTATTAAAAAAGGGCAACTTCAAAGTGTTGTTAAAACCGTAAAACACTGTAATCTGGTTTATAAAAAAATATAGAACGCGAGCCCTTGGAACTGCAATAAAGCAGTTTAATTCACGCGTATGGGTATTATTTTCCCCATTTTTTAAAAGTGCCAACGCTCTAAATACGTTGATACGGTGTCTTTGTGTGGCTTTTATAACACCCTCTCAGAACAAGTTCCACATCAAGCCGGTCGAATGCTCTAAGAAAGAACAAGCCTTCTGCATAATAAGTTTAAAAGTTTTTGTGTAGCTATAAACGCATAACCGGTTTTTGTATTATGGTGTCGGTATCGCAATATAACAGTCGAGTTCCTTTTTAATTCGTGTTTCGGTGCTTTGTTTTTTTGGTGTACTCTTAAAAAATTGCAAGGATTCTACTATAAGCGTTGCTCATTTCATTATTTCAAAAACTTGTTCTTTGAATCTCCAAAAATGTGCTTTCCAAACAATTGGTAGATTTTTAAGGAAAGAAGAATTGTATCCTAAATAAAAGCGATGGAACACAAATATAGATAACCTTAGAATTTTCCCCAAAATATATACATTCTAATGAAAAAAAAAACAAATTCCATGAAATATTTATGTAGAAATTTTTGAGTTAAGCGTGGGTAATACATAAAAACATGCATTACAGTCTGAAACTTTTTTGAAGCCTTTGCTGAAAGTAACACATAATATTTTATGTTACTAATATTGAGATCGCTTTTGTGATATAACAAATCCCACACCAAGCCGGTCGAATGCTCTAAGAAAACAAGCCTTCTGCATAGTAAGTTTAAAAGTCTTTGTTATAAACGCATAACCGATTTTTGTATTAGGGTGTCGGTATCACAATATAACAGTCGAGTTCCTTTTTAATTCGTAATTTGGTGCTTTGTTTTTTGGTATATCCTTAATAATTTGCAAGAAGTTTACTGTCATAAACTTTTTAAAAAAATGAGTTTTCAACAAATTGGTGAGTTTTTAAGGGAAGATAGATTGTACCTTAAACGGTACGAAACCTACATAAAGATAGAATTACCTCAAAATATATAGATTCTAATGAAAAGAAATGGATTCCATTTATACAATAATTTTTGATGTCAGCATGGGTAAAAGTCATGAATTATAGTTTGAAGTCTTTGGTAAAAGTAAGACATTATATTAGTAATACTGAGATCTTTTTTGTGATATGATTTACTTATTTTGACGTTTCAAACGTGTTGAGTGACTGGTGTAAAATAGTGACGTACCTAGATAGGCCTAATCGATAATGGTACAGCACATGATCCTTTCAATTACGTTCTCGAACTGTTTAATTGTAGTTATAACGCTGCTTGCGGAGACACCACATACGGATTCTTTGCTTAGTTTTAGAAAAAGGCAACTTCAAGGACGTGTTAAAAGTAAAACACTGTCATCTGGTTACATTTGAAAAATGACCGCAAGCTCTGAAACTGAAATAAAGCAGCTTAATTCACATGTATATGTATGATTTTTCCCCTTTTTGAAAGTACCAATGCTCTAAATACGTTTATACGTCGTCTTTGTATGACATGCTCTCTGAACAAATCCACACCAAGCCGGTCGAATGCTCTAAAAATGAACAAGCCTTCTGCATAATAAGTTTAAAAGTTTTTGTTTAGCTATAAACGCATAACCGGTTTTTGTATTATGGTGTCGGTATCGCAATTTAACATCCGTGCTTTGTAATAAATTGCAAGAAGTTTAGTGTCATAAACTTTTGAAAAAAACGAGTTTTCAACAAATTGGTGGGTTTCTAAGGGAAGATATCGTCGACTTAATCGGCAAAATGCGTAACTCCACATTTTTGAGAAAATGACATTTTGGTGCCATCTAGTAGTAAATAGTACAACCCATCTTTAGGAAAACAGCCTATATCCAAAGCTTTATTCGTTTCTTTGTAATACGCAAAGTAGAAAACGGCCTATATCCGTTCCCGCCAATTTCAGTCGGCAAAATGCGTAAATCCCAGAACGTGTAATAACGCTTACGGTGAACACGTGCATCTGCGAATTTACAGCTTGGTGCAAGTGATAGTGGAATCTATATTTCCATAAAGGCTTTTGAAAGGTAAGTACAACTTCCAGATTATTAGAATCAGTATTTTTTAATGATAATTATAATTATACAAGGTGATATGAGTTAAACTTTGTATTTCAGGGAGTTACGCATATTTCCCATAATATATTTTTAAAGTAGATATTTGGTTGTATAGGAGATACGTATTATTATTTTCAATCATTAAGAAGGGACATTTTTTTTTCTAGATTATGGCGAGACGAATTGACAGAATCTTCGATGCGTTGAAGTCTACTACCAGCTATGAACCAGTAAATGAAAAAAATAATAACTACGACCTATCGAAGGTTATTCAGGATGCTGAAATAATATTTTCAGACGCTGCTGGTAAGCACTAATAAGACCTTCCCAATATTGTATGACCTTTTCGTAAGTACTTTTGCACAATAGTAAATTCATAGCTAATAATGTAAGAATTGAGTACCAGGTGATTCATTCCAAATATAACAGTAAACATTGTTGCGTTTTATGCGGCGTTTGGTGACTTCTTATCTACAGTCTTTGCAGTTCGTGTTTTATTATAAATGGAACGTGTCCATTGTATTAATTCCAAATAACCTGCGAAATCTTGAAGATTGTTAATTGATTGATTAACAGATAATCTGACCACTTTTTAGTCTTACGTTCGGTCTTTTTTCAGGCGAAGACTACAGTGCTGTTGGAAATGTGGATTCAGTAGAAGCGCAAAGTGCTAGCGAGTGCAATAGTGAATTGTAGACGCACAAATTAGCGATTTTGTAGTTGATGGAGAAGTCAGAATGATGATGGAAGACGCAAGTGGTAAGAGCCTTAAATGAGATTCTTTATATTTATTTCTGACCATCTAACTTTTTTAAGATGAAGCTGTGGCTCCAATTCAGTTGAGTATTGTTGAAATTGGCCAACGTGATTCCATTTTCGATGAAATACCTTCCTGTTCAGGAGTACAATCCACTATTATTGAAATCTAACTGTAGAAGATTGTGAGAGCTCCGACTTAGATGAGTCTGATTATACGCCTTGTACTAAACTATCGGATAAGATATTAGAAGACGAAGGACCCCGTCGGAAGCGTTCAACAAAGTATGAAGTAAACAAAAATAAATGGCATGAAAACAAGAATCGAATTAAAAGAGAAAAGGGAGAATCATACGTAGGGAAAAAAAAATGGGATGTGGAAATATGACATTTTAAAGGAACCGAGATCACTAAAGGATGTATGTCGTTGTAAACTAAGTAACAATCAAAAATCTGTTTTAAAATGTAGAGAATTGACTGAAAATGAGAGAAAAAACATTTTTAAGGAATTTTGGCAATACACTTGGGCAGAAAAGAGGGTTTTCGTAAAAAATCACGTTTCCATAAATTATACTATAAGAAAACGGGGAATTAGGGACGTTTCAAGAAGATCTTATTCAAACAGATTCTTTTTGGGCAAGGACAGACTAAGGGTTTGTAGAACGATGTTTCTTAATACGTTAGGAGTAAAAGAGTGGGTTATAAAAAAATGGGCCAAAAGTAACTTGGAAAATGGTTATAGAAAGGATGAAGATAATGTACAGCCGAATAAAATACGTGACAGTACTACTGCACCTACTCGTTCGCTGCATGACTTTTTCGACTGTCTACCGAAGCTGGAATCGCACTATTGCAGGGCTTCCACATCCAAGCTCTATTTAGAGCCAACTTGGAATTCTAAGGCTCACTTATATAAAATTTACAAAAGCGACTACTGTACTACACATAACGTTGAACCTGCATCGATTGCAACATTCCATAAAGAATTCGACAAAAAACGACTATCACTATAAACCAAAAAAAGATCTATGTGACACTTGTGTTGCGTTTGAGACGGGCAATTTAACAGAAGATAAGTACAATGAACACATTGCATTCAAAAATGCAGCAAGAACTGCAAAGACCGTAGATAAAGAGTCTCCAAATGAAGTTTTTACAATGGACCTTCAATCCGTTTTGCTATCCCCAAAATCAAACACGTGTGCACTGTATTATAAAACTAAGCTGATTGTCCACAACTTCACCCTCTATGACATCAAGCGCAATCAGGGCTACTGTTATTTATGGAATGAAGCGGAAGGAGGACTAACTAGTAATGAGTTCACAAGCATAATAATACATTTTTTAGAAAGACATATCGATCAGTTTGGATTACAAAATCGTAGTGATATTCAAATTATATTATGGAGCGATGGTTGTGGTTATCAAAATAGGAACGCCACATTGGCAAATGGCCTATACAATCTCACATTGGAGAGGGGAGTTACTATTGTGCAAAAGTATTTGCAGAAAGGACATACCCAAATGGAAGTGGACAGTGTCCATTCTGTAATTGAAAGGAAAACCCGAAATAAGAAAATCAATATTCCAGCAGACTACGTCTACATCTGCAAAACGGCATGTCAAAAGGCTCCTTATAGAGTTGAGTACCTAATGCACGATTTCTTCAAAAAATACGATGAGCTGAAATATTTTAATTCTATCAGACCCGGAAGATCTGCTGGTGCACCATTGGTAAACGATATTAGAGCATTGAGATACTCTCATGAGGGAGTGTTTTTCAAACTCAATCACTCTGATCAAAAATGGCAAATTCTTCCAGTCAGGCTAAACACAAAGACTAACAACGCCACCAATGATGCAAACGACTTACCCAAACTCTATAGAAATAGGATAAAAATTAAGGCAGAAAAGTATAAACACCTTCAAAGTCTAAAGGCAACCATGGAAGTCGATTATCATGCCTTCTATGATAATTTACCCCATGATTGAATAAATCGTAGATAAGCACAATCCGATTTTGTTTTACTTTTATGAATACATGTGTTTTCTTCCTTAAGCCGCTCTATTAAGCACAATCTGAATTATGTTTATATTTTTATGAATAAAAATTGTATTTTTCCTGAGTAGCTTCATTGTTACTGTTCAAATATCCCATATGAGGAACCCCTATCTCCAGGTTTTTGGCTGAATATAAAAAAGAAAACTGCCTATCTCCTTTTTTTTATCATAGTAAATGATCTATGCTAAAATATTGTCCAAGCATATAGTTTTTAGCTGCTACAAGACACTTTCTGATCGTTTAACACAGTCATTCTTGTGAAAAATACTACAGTTCAATCTGATGACGTTTTTTGTGTCTCCTGTAAAATTTATAGAAACGGAGATACGCATTTTGCCGATTAAGCCGACGATATATTGTACCTTAAACGGTATGAAATTTACATAAAGATAGAATTACCTCAGAATATATGGATTCCATTTATACACTAATTTTTGATGTAAGCATGGGTAAAAGACATGAATTATAGTTTGAAGTCTTTGATAAAAGTAAGACGTATTATATTAGTAAATTGAGATCGTTTTGTGATATGATTTATTTATTTTGACGTGTCAAACGTGTTAAGTGATCGGTGTAAAATAGTGACTTGTATTAGGGTGTCGGTATCGCAATATAACAGTGGAGTTCCATTTTAATTCGTGTTTCGGTGCTTTGTATTTTGGTATAATACAAGGAATCTACTATAAGCATTGCTCATCTCACGATTTCAAAAGTTTGTTATTTGAAACTCCAAAAATGTGCTTTTCAAGCAAATTGGTAGTTTTTAAGGAAAGATGAATTGTATCCTAACGCCATGGAACACACATATAGATAACCTTAGAATTTTCGTCAGAATATGTACATTCTAATGAAAGAAAAACAAATTTCATAGACGTAATATTTATGCAGTGATTTTTGAGTTAAGCATGGGTATACGTAAAAACATGCATTACAGTCTGAAACTTTTTTGAAGCCTTTGTTGAAAGTAACACAAAATATGTTATGTTACTAATATTGAGATCGATAATTGTGATATGATTAATTTATTATGACGTGTCAAATGTGTTAAGTGATTGGTAGTAAATAGTGACGTACCTAGATTGGACTAATCGATAATGGTGCAGCGCACAGATCCTTTCAATTACGTAAGTTCTCGACACCACATTACGAATCCCTTGCTTACTATTAAAAAAGGGCAACTTCAAAGACATGTTAAAACAATAAAACACTGTAATCTGGCTTATACTTGAAAAAAAGACTGCGAGCTATTAAAATAAAGCAGCACATTTATGAGTATGATTTGATCTTTGACCGTAAATGAGTACTTTTGAACGAGAGTAACAAAATAGACGTTAACATGATTGTTGTAATCAGCCGTCTCAACTAATTTAATTCACATTTATGTGTACATTTTTTACACATTTCTTCAGCATTCAGTTTTAGATTATGTGCATGAGATATGTCAAAAATGCAGATTTCGATTTATTTGATGTTGTCCAAGCATGTACTCATCAGGATCTAAGCTGTTATTATAAAGTTGTCTGACATTATGCGAAATGATGAACGACTGAGTAGTTGGCGGTTTCATGAAAATCGCATTCAGTTTATTGTTGCATAACTTTAAGATCCGATAGAACTTTTAAACCTAATGCATAAAGTGTATATAAACATGGGTCGAAAAATGCGTGGCTTCTGAAATACAGGGTGTTTAAATTTACTTTCTAAAACAGTTTTTTTTTTAAATATTTCGAACAATATTTGATGTATAACAGTGAAAATTGGTATACAAGAGTTTTTTGGTACGACAAAGTGAACCATGGGTATAGTTTTACAGTAGCTGCTAGAGGGCGCTCTCTACTGTACTTGTAGAGTATTAAAATGACCGAAAAAAATTTCTTAGTGCAAGTTTTTGCCCTTTGAATAAAAAAGCTGATTCTTCGCACTTTTCAACATAAAAAACCTCTCTTGTGAATTTTCGTTAGAGTTAGCCGTTTTGAGATATTTCGATTTTTAAGGTTCGATGCATTTTTAATTATTTATGATAAAATAACGTTAAAAAGTCAGTATCTCGATAATTTTTAGAAGTAGGCTGTGCCTGCAAATATTTTTGAAATTGAAAGCAGAATAGGTTAAACGTCAATTAGTTGACAGTTAGTTTTGTTGTCTGTTGAAACCTGAAACGTTTTTTGCAATTGTGAATGCACGAAATTTAGTTTTTTTTACCTGTTTTTTTTGTAAGTTTTATAAAAATGCCATTTTTATTCTCCAATCAAGAGTTAGCGGATATTCATTTTGTGTATGGCTTTGTAAATGGAAACGCAGCAGAAGCAGCCCGAGAATACGCACGAAGATTTCCAAACAAATGACATCTAAGTCGCTCAGTATTTGTAAGAGTGCATCGCCAAATAATTGAAAATGGTTTTGGAAATCTCCAGAGGGATCAAAACATAAATGTTCGTCAGCGCAGATTTACCCGTAGGATTCTGCGTGAGTTTGATAGAGATCCGACCACAAGTGTTAGGAGAGTTTCTGGTGCCTTAGGAATTTCAGCAAGCCATGTTCACCGTGTTCTTAGAAATAACCATAGACGTCCTTACCATTTGCAACCTGTGCAAGGGCTACAGCCAGGGGACGGAGAACGAAGAATCACATTTTGTCAGTGGATCCTTGTTAGAACTGATAATAATAGGGAGTTTTTAAGTAACGCTTTATGGACCGATGAGTCATGCTTCACTAGACGTGGAGTGGTAAATTTTCATAATCAACATATTTGGTCGCATGAAAATCCGCATGTAGTTCGGGAAAGAAATTTTCAGCATGAATTTAGTGCGAATTGGTATCTACCGTAATCGACTATTTGGACCCTACCTTTTGCCTGCAACGTTAAATGCTGCGACCTTCTTGGAATTTTTAAAGGCTGAACATGCAAATATGTGGGATGATGTTATGTTAGATTTAAGAAGATTGGCCTGGTTCCAGCTTGATGGTTGTCCAGCTCATTATTCGAGAATAGTTAGAAACTGGCTGGACGAAAATTATCCAGAAAGATGGATCGGCCGTGGAGGACCTGGCCTCCACGATCCCCTGACCTAAATCCATTAGGTTTCTTTGTGTGGGGATTTATAAAAGTGTACCAGACTCCCGTAACCACAAGAGATATGCTAATAGACAGAATCAGGAATGCATGTGATGAAATAAGGCCTTATTTGAATAATGCTATACCACGTTCGATCATTCTTAGCTGTGAATTGTGTATTGAACAATTGGGTTTACATTTCGAGCAACTACTTTAGATTTTGTATGTTTGTCCTAACTATCCAATAGCATCCAATATTCATTTAGTTTGTTAAAAATAATATTGGAAAATTAAACAAATTAATATTCTGTTTTTTTGTGTTTATTTGGAGTTAGGAATTATTGCTGTGTTTAAAAACACAATCTAAACGATCATCTGAATTACTTGTAATGCCCAAATCGAAAATATAAAAAAAATATTATTTTCCCATAAATAATTAAAAATGCATCGAACCTTAAAATCGAAGTATCTCAAAAACGGCTAACTATAACGAAAACTCACATGAGAGCTTTTTTATGCATAAAAATGCGAAGAATTAGCTTTTTCATTCAAAAAGCAAAAAAATTGCACTAAGAAATTTTTTTCGGTCATTTTAATACACTACAGGTACAGTAGAGAGTGCCATTTAGCGGGCTACAGTAAAACTATGGCCATGGTTTCATTTTGTCGTACCAAAAAATCCTTCAATACCAATTTTCACTGTTATACATCAAATATTGTTCGTAATATTTAAAAAAACTATTTTAGATAGTAAATTTAAACACCCTGTAGTTCGGAAGCCACGCATTTTTCGACTCATGTTTATATAGACTTTATGCATTAATTTTAAAGGTTCTATCGAATCTCAAAGTTATGCAACAATAACTGAAACACCCTGTATAGAGAGCAAATAAAAGGGGACTCAAAATAGAACCTTGAAGGATACCAACATTTCTTGATATATTATTTTCATACATGACAGACTGACAGCGACCAGTTAAGTAGCTCCTAATCAGAGTGCAAGTCGATGAGGACAGGCTAAAGTATCTGAGAGAATATTTCGGTCAAATGTGTCGAAACATTTGCTAAAATATGTCCCATGTGCTTGGGCACTAAATACAGATGGTACGGGACCACCGTCAATATTGATCGTGCGACATTTGCCTGATATATGAAATGTAAGACAACGCTACTGTCTAAAATTCCCAACAAATGCAGTAACGAAATGGTAGGCGTACAATCGAGGACTTATCAATGCGGACAGGATATGCACGTTGAGGATCCGCAGGGGAAGTTCGCAAGGTATTTTGGGGGATGCGGCATTGGCAGCAGAATCTACCGCCGCGGCGAAATTAACCATCTGCACGCGTGATTTCATATGCATATCAGGACGAATTTATGTGCGAATAAATTTAACGCCATGATATTGCCTTATGCATATTTAGGAGGGGCTACAACAGCTGGTGCCAAAACGCCAAAAATTGCTATTCGCCCATCGACTGCGGAATATGATAAAACCCATTTTCAGAAAACTTACTTGAGATGGTTTTCAACAGAAGCAAAACGCAGAGACGCAAAAATATCGTCGCCTTTTTTTACAGTAAACGAAAGATTTTATATGTCACTTAGTGTCACTAAGTGACATATAAATCCGAACACCCAGTTTAAATGGTTTTATTTTAATAAAATTTTGTATAAGTACTTAATGAAGCATAATAAGTAAATGATAAAAATTTCAAAATGATGCACTGCTTTTAAAGCTCTTTTGACCTTAATAATGTGTGGATGCACCCTTATGTGCTACGCATTCTCCAACACGCCTTGGCATGCTTCTGATCAGGTGGTCAATGTCCTCCTCCAGGCAACCACCAACTCCTCTCGAAGTGCTTCTAGAGTCTGAGGAGGATGTTGCAAATTGAGCAATCTCCTACCCATCATATCCCACACGTGCTCAATTGGTTATAAGTCGGGAGATCTTGGTGGCCATGGTAACAATGTGTCATCATTATGTTGAAAGAAGTCTATTGTGACTCTTGCAACATGTGGTCGGGCATTATCTTGTTGGAAAGTTGGATCTGCCAGGGTGTCAAGATAGGGTAAAAGATGGGGTTCTAGAACTTCCTGGATATAACGCTGCGCGTTCATGTTACCTCTGATGAAGATTAAAGGTGACCTGGAACCATAAGCTATAGCACCACAAACCATAACTCCAACAGTGTGATGAACATGTCTTTCAACAAAAAACTGTGGATTCCTCCTTTCACCACGTCGCCTTCTAAACCCTGGCACGACCATCGTGCATGCCTAAACAAAATCGAGACTCGTCACTAAAGACAATACTGTTCCATTCCTGATCCCAGAGTGACAGTTGT